AATACAACGAATACCGTGAAACCTTCAAGAGAAAAGGATACAAAAAAAACGTGACAGAGCCAATCAAATTTGCGAATTGGCACGTGGATCATTCTAGAACCCGATTTCCAAATTTGGTATATTCTCTGACTGAAGTATTTATATTTATTTAGCTAATAACAAATATTGAGTTAAAGGGTGTAGTGACTTAGTATAGTTGGTAAGTTGTTGCACCTCAAGCAGCAGGACAAGAGTTTGAATCCCACCGGCAACGAAATTCAAATTTGCAAAAATGTGTTACAGTAAAACTGTATGATATATCAATTAAGTAAGCATCTGTGACTTTGGTCTCACCAACTTGTATTGGAAGGTTGTAGAATATAATATAACATATGAGATACACAAAACCCAAGTGAAGTAGCCAAATAAATCCAAGAGATCAGAGAATATAGAAGCCCACTTGGGAAGTTCTGAGTAGAAAAGTAGCACAGTTCTTCAATAGTACTATGTAAAAGATTATCATCTGAAGAACTGGACACTAGCAGTAAACTGAATGAGGACCAAATATTTGACAAGCACTATACCAACCAGGCCACTGGACCAGCTGAAAGAAAAAGGATTCATTCAGAATACCAGAAGACACCTACTGATCCCTCTCAGGCCATTTGGATTGAAAGTTTAGAGCACTGTTAGTTGGCATCGAAGTACTATTAATAGTCTGTAAAGTGGATACTGAGGTTTGGGTGAACTTTGCAAGGGCACAGAGTAGGTAATAGTAGTGGAGGTAAAAAGCCGCAAGTACTTGGCCATGATCTAAACGTAAGTTACTGAAAACCTAGATAATATATGTATGGAACATAGACCACTCTAGTAAGTTTATCACAAGGATAAAGTAGTTCTAAAGGGTTTTAGCGGTAGTTCCTTCTTTAGAGAGAATATCTGATGGTGCTAAATTGATCAGAGGGTTTAATTGGATAACTCAAGTAATAGTGGGTTACAGGTATGACATTTAGTGTAGTTCATATAGGTTACATATGCAAGACTGTTTAAATAGACAACCAAAAGTTGTACATATAGCTAGAATGTATTCTCATTAATATAACAATATCAGAGACAGCCCATGTGGTTGCCCTGGCATTCAATTCAAAGTTTAATAAAATGTGCCAAACCCTAAAGTAATCACCTTAATATTAAAAAAAAAAAAAAAAACAAATATTGGATTACTTTCATTTCTCATCAGCAAATAAGATTTTGCTATTTTAATATATTTTGATTTATTGAATTTAATATCAATATGAATATTGAGTATTTCATATATTTCGATTTATTGTTTTTGTTGATATAGATATCAGATATTTATTTATTTATTTTAATTTATTATAATAAAATGATATAATTTCCATTCAAGAACTTCAGAAGTCAATACAACCAGATCTGAAAAAACATTAGATTGATTTTAAAGCAGAGTTCATTTAGAAATCATTTAAAATAATAAATAGGGATGCCCAAAGGTACTATATAAATGATAATCAAATATTAAAAATAATCAAGAAGTGCCACTAGCACCAAAAGAAAAAATATATAATGCAGCAAGATCCAGAAAAAAACAAGCAGAAGCATGAAAAAAATAGAAAAATCAAAAAATGACTGTAGTAAGAATTTTTTTCATTATATTAATATATTGTCTATATGACTATTAGTACAATCTTAAATATATATTTTAAAAAATAAACAGAAGGAAAAAGTGTTTACCCACCTGCACCAAACAAGTAGTCAACATCTAACAAACATCCTTCCTATTAATATTCAGAGCATAGGCTCTGTATGATATTAAAAAAATAATCAGCAAAAGTAGATACCATAGTAATAAAGTATCCAAAACAGATGATGAACTTGCTGAAGAAGAAAGAAAGCAAAGAATTCAACATCAACTCAATGATGACCAATACAACCATATTGTAAAGATTATAAAGAAAGAATGACGATCGAAAAAAGTAATTATTACAATATAAAATCTATATCTATATAGATATTAGTGTTAATATACTTTATATACTTTTTAGTTAAGTCAGATTTTGTTGCTATATAATAATACTTTGCTAGCACAAAATCACAATAAACCAAAAAGAAATCAGTAGAAAAGTAATGAACTCGAAGATAATTCTATACCATCAGCTAGGGCTTCTAGTTGATGTGTTTCATGCAACTCTAATTTGCTGCTTCTCTTGGTACTCTTGGTATAAGTTTTCCTGGTATTGGTAACTCTAATATATATTTTAAGTCTGGTGCTGCTGATTCTGATTCACATTTTGTATTTGGTGCTGCTACTCCTAATATTCCTGATACATATCCTGAGTCTGATGCTATTGTATATTCTGGATCTGATTCTGTTGCTCTTGATACAAATTCTGGGTCTGATACTAGTATCTCTAATACTAATGCTATGTCGATATTAATCACTCTGCTGCTCCCGATACTAACCGCTTTGCTGCTCTTAATACTAACCACTCTGTTACTCTTGATACTAACTGCTCTGCTACCCCTGCAAAAAATCGATCTGATGCTTCTATAAAAAATTATTCTGCTGCTCCAATATAATTCGTGGCAGAAATTCCTCTAGCATCTATCCTAATATCATATCTGGTACAATTTTTAATATTTCTAATGCAAATTATTTAAGATTTTTACTAAAATTTTTGTAATATTTTATTCACATAATTTATGAAGGGGCCACTAATAATAATGATACTATTGTAACAGTACACAAAAATAAAAATAAAATCGTTAATAATTGTATTTAATTAATTTGGTATATATTAATAATTATTTTATAATTTAGAATTAAACAAAGATCTTAATAGTTATCCTGTCAATACTGTTAGATCTTCTAAACCATGTTATAGCAGAGGTGGTTTAAATCAAAAAGCACCTAGAGGTTCTAGGTATAGTATTAGAAAATAATTTATTTTTAATATATTTAATTTATATTATATATTTATTTAGCTATTAATTATATATTATTTGTAAAAGAAATAAAATATATTAAATAATAAAAAATCAAAATGTCACCTTTTAATTATATATTGGAAATAAATAAAAAATAAAATATCTTAAAAACTTTACTATTTATTTAAATTATATTAATATTGTCTTTAATATTATCTAGTAAAAACAAATTTACTAAAAAGTAGATGTTGAGATATTAAAGAAATCTCTTTAGTTTACTGCTATAATCTGCTCAAATCAGCAGCAAAACAGATAGATATCAGAATATTAAGAGAAACCCTTTAGTTAACTGATAGTTATCTTTGTATGTACCATTATTTATCTTTTATGTTACTGTAGTCACTAATATTGGTAACAAAATAAGTATATAATTGTTATATAAATATTAATATCAGAATATAAAAAGATATTTTTTATTTATCTAATATTTATCTTAAATATACCGATATTTATCTTTTATGCTACTATAGATCTGGCAAACATGTGTAGCAACCAGATAGATAATTATTATATAAAGGATTGATATCAAAATAAGAATAGATACTCTTTATTTATTTAATATTTATTTTTTATTTTGTACTGATATTTATCCTTTATGTTATTTTAGATCTACCAAATAACTGTAGCAAACTAGATTAAAAGTAGATATATAAAAGATAAATGCTAGGACATAAAAAGGTACCTTTTATTTATCTGATATTTATCTTGAACATACCAATATTCATCTTTTATGCTGCTAAAAATCTGGCAAACATATATAGCAACCAGATAGATAATTATTATATAAAGGATCAATATTATAATAATAATAAATACCCTTTATTTATTTAATATTTATTTTTTATACTGTATCAGTATGTATCTTTTATGTTATTATAGATTTGCCAAATAACTGTAGCAAACCAGATTAATAATGTATACATAAAGGATAAATATCGAGATAATAAAAGAGTACTGGTATATATCCTTTATATATTTATTGAACCAGTAGATTTTTAATTTAGATACTTGGTCTAACCTTTGGGCTACTTTATTTGTGAAGTAAATTCTATCAAAGGAGTTAATTTTCACAGCCACACCTTATCCAGATTTTATTGCACTAGAGGTGATTCTATATTAGGTAAAACTAATTCTTTTCACAAACGTCGACAATATTCTCCACATTTCTTACTATAGTAGTGCCCATACTCTGGAATATTGGTTTTCTTCTAAGAATTCTTTAAATCAAATATATATCTTCACTTGGACTTCTACAGGGCTTCATGTATGATTATAGGCTTCTTTTTTCAGTTACAGAGTATTCTACTTATAGCCAAACTCAAACCATTGACCTTGTCTGTAGAGGATAAGAGCTTATCCATTAAGCTATAGAACTCGAACCTGCAGTTCTTTATATTTTAAAATAGAATTTTGAATAATTATATATTTGTGCTTATATTTGATAATCAATACTATATTACTATATATAGAAAGTATGAGTATGACTGATTTCATTATTCTGTTTCTAGTATAAAAGTCACAATAAAAATTGTGAAAGTCTGTTAAAATCAGATTATAAGTTGAATATATAATAATAATTATCTAATCAAATAACTTAATACAGTATTAAAATATACTTTATGTACTTTATATTCTATTTTTGATATGTTTCTAATGACATACTTTTTTAGTATTGTTTGGGGTAATATACAAAATCACAAGACATTTTGCCTAATTAAATACTTATAATTGTATATTTCACTTAACTTGCCTATAAACTATACTCTATAAATTTTGTACTCCATTTCTAGTATTTTCTAAGCAAATTTGCCTAGAAAAACCTTATAGTTTAAGAAATAATACAATATCAAATAGTAAAAAACATTCAAATTTTTTTAAAAACACCAAATTTTGAAATTTATACTCAAATCTGATTGGCTATTTTTTGTGTAACAAAATTCTGATTGGTTAAAAATCTATAAAAATAATTTTTTTTATATATTAAATACCAAATTTTTAATTATATAATAACTTTAGGCTCTAATAACTTTTTAAATTTATAGTAAAACTAAAAATTTTTTTAACAGAGTTATAGCTTAAACTAAAAGCAACAAATCTGTAAGACAGATTTATTTACTTGTAAGTTATAAGCATTATAGATCTCCTTTAGTATAGGTGGGCATATATAAATTATTATAAGATTATAATATATAAAACTTAACTAATTTGAGCCAATTTAAATCCTAACCTTAATTATGACTCTAATAATTTATAAAATTACTTAATTAACGATTCTTCAGTCAACTGAAGAATGATTATAGTAAAACGTGACGTGGTTCTATATATAAATTACTATAGATGCGAAAGTAGAAATTTTCTAGTAATTGTCTAAAGAAA